CTTAATAGTGACGTCCTAGAGGACAGGCAATTCGAGCTTGTTTTCCTGTCTGAGGCCGCTCCCCATCTCTGTTCCATGCTACTAGTCCCTGAGGGTGACCCTAACACCTTTGACATCCCGACCCCTCGCACCTACGCTGAGGCGACCTCGGGACCTTGGGGCTCTTAGTGGATAGCTGCCATGGAGCAGGAGATTGCATGTTGGAGATCCACTTGTACCTTCGTCGACGCAGTTCCCCCACCAGGGGTGAACATAGTCGATGGCCGGTGGCTCTTCAAGGTGAAGCGCCCTCCTGGAGAGCTGCCTGTCTTCAAGGCGCGCTACGTTGCTTGAGGCTTTAGTCAGCGTGAGGGGGAGGACTTCTTTCAGACCTTCGTCCCGACCCCAAAGATAACCACTCTTCGGGCACTACTACACGTAGCACAGCGTGACTATGAGCTGCACTCAAACGACATCTCCACAACTTTCCTCCAGGGCAGTCTATATGAGCAGGTCTAGCTGCGCTGCCCCCAGGGCTTCTCCATTACCTTTCCCCCTGGCACCGAGTGGCTCCTCCGGCGCGCCGTCTACGGCTTGCGACAAGCACCTCGTGAGTGGCACAACACGCTTCGTGCTACATTTGCTGACTTGCATCTCTTCCCTTCGTCTGCAGACCCCTCGCTCTTCGTCCGTTCCGGCCAAACCCCATTCTACATCCTTGTCTACGTAGACGACCTGGTCTTTGCTATTGCAGTCTGACACGCGCTGGCCTCTGTGAAGGCCGAGCTTCTGAGGAGGCACACCTGCACTGGCCTAGGAGAGCTGCGCCGCTACCTTGGCTTGCAGATCTCCAGGGACAGAGCAGCGAGCACCCCCACTCTCTCACAGTCACACTTGGTGCGCCAGGTCCTTCAGAGGTTCGGCCTTCAGTTCTCTTCAGCACAGCCCACCCCTCTGCAAGTAGACCAAAGACTCTCTGTTCCAGTCCCGAAGGAGGCTGTAGAGCCTAGTGGTCCCTACGCAGAGCTGGTGGGTTGCCTCATGTAGGGGATGACTTGCATTCGTCCAAATCTCGCATACCCTCTCAGCATCCCGGCTCGCTTTGTGGCCCTCGTCAGACACCGACCACAGCACTGGTCGGCCATTAAGAGGGTTTTGCGTTATCTAGCAAGTACATCGGGCATGGGGCTAGTGCTAAGAGGATGTAGACCAGTGGTCCTTACCGAGCACACAGGCGCTTCTTGGGCAGACGATGTCGAGACTCTCAAGTCCTCACAGGGCTACTGTTTTAGCCTTGGTGCAGGTGCCATCTCGTGGAGGTCCACCCACTCCTCGTCTGTTGCCCAGTCTAGCTGTGAGGCGGAGATCTACGCTGGTGCCATGGCGGCACAGGAGCTCCGCTGGCTGACCTTCTTGCTCACCGACCTGGGTGAGCGGCCTAGCTCTGCCCCGGTTCTATACGCTGACAACAGGGCCATGATCCTCCTGTGTCAGGAGCCACGACTTGAGGGCAGAGCGAAGCACATCCGGCTGCGATTCTTCCTCCTGCGCGAGCTGCAGCAGCGTCGCAAGGCTCGCATAGTATACTTGGCCTCTGGTGCCAACATAGCTGATATCTTTACTAAGGCGCTTGCGCCTAAAGATCATCAGCGGCACTGTGTACAGCTAGGTCTCGTTCCTGTAGCCTCTCACTTGCTAGTACCTTGATTGTGTACAGACCTTTATATATATATATATTACCCTGACTTGGCTTGTGGCCTCTTCCCAGTGGCTGGACCAGTAGTGCCGCCCTGGCCTTGCTCTTGCATTGTCTGTACTCGTTTGACTGGTCTTTAGACCCCTGCCTCAGAGGTTGGACTAGTAGTATCACCCTTAGCTGCTTCTCTCTCACCAGGCACTGCCCCTATCCAGTCTAGAGGGTGTGTCAAACATATTATTGTATGTTGTTATAGACTATACGGGATTGTGCCTTACGGGGTATAACTCATTAGGTTATATTCCATTGTATGTCACTATTCTAGTCATTCTTTCACTTCAACAGCTTATACCCCTTGTGCAAAACGGCGACATCGGTGGCGGGTCGCAGCAACGGCGTCTGCGGCGGCTATGACGACGACAATGGCGGCGGCGGTGGCGGATGGCGGCGCAGCCAGTTGCACGTGCAGCGGTGGCGGCGACTACGATGACGGCGGCGGCGATTTGAAGCCCGTGGTACTCGTCAGCGTGGCACTGCCTGGCGACGACATGGAAGGGAGCCATTAGCTACGGTTGGGATAAGGGGAGACGCAGGGGAGGGGGTGTGTCTTCAGCGAGGTGTCGTGGATGGCGCGGCGCTTGCTGGCGTGCGAGCGTGCTGGCTGGCGCCTAAACCAGCATGCTAGCCGCAGCCGTCCGTGCGTTGGTGCATCGAAGCCGTCGCGGCAGCACGACGAGGCCGCCGCGGCAGCGCGGCGAGGCCACTACGGCTGCTCGACGAGGCCGCCACGCGTCGAGGCCTCCATGGCAGCAGGACGTGGCCGCCACGGCAGCGCGTCGAGGTCGCCGCGGCAGCGCGGCGAGGCCGCCACGGCAGCACATGGAGGCCGCCACGACTGCGCGAAAGTGAAAGGAGATGAAAGATTACGTGGCGGAAGCGTGAATATGAGGCTCAGCAGGATCTTTCTGCTATGAAACCATGTTAAAATGAGCTGAGAAGCTAAGGTAGGCATGAGAATAGCGAGAGGTTTAAGCTAGGTAGTAAAAGTGATGAGAGAAAAGAGAGTTGACTAGGAAAGAGAGAGGTATACAAGAAGTGGGTTGTACCATCTACTTTAGGATCAAGTCTTTTGTAGAACACCTAACAAGCGTACACAACTATATACGTGATATTTATAAGGTTACAAACACTTCCGCTGCCAACGCTCTTTGAGCGTTCAATCCTGAAGACCCTTCCAGGCCTTTGTCATCGTATCAAAATTGAATATTAAAAAAGGAGTGGCATCCCCTATAATCGATACTGTTTGGTTAAATATAAATTTTTAAAGTGTTCACACTTTCAAAATTGTGTATTGTGAATGCGAAGCTGCTTGTAACGCAATCTAAGGCATCGTCGAAGCGCGCTATTCGCCATTCTCCAACCATATAATGGGGTTGGAGGTCATTCTTTCTCCACCCACGTTTTTTTCATTTTTCCCAGCTCAAGTTCAATTGAGTTCCCATCCCGCTTTTTTCGCTCCGCCATTCTGGCGAAGTTGAAAACTCTCCCTCGCGGGGAAGCACCCTCCCAGCTTCTCGCAGATATCCTTACGCATAACCAGGTAGCCATGGCCCCTCCTAGCACCCCGGCCAATCGTGCTGAAAATCCGCTAGTCGACAGTCCGAATAATTCGGAACACGAGAAAAACGCCCGTGAAATGGCGGGTGATTGCGGCAACAAGCGTTGGGCAGAGGGCGACCTCGCCCCTTCTGCCCTCGACGTGTTGTTGCGCAGTGGCGAGGTCCACCAAATTGAGCTTGGTGGGCCACGCGCCAGCGAGCAGCAGGAGACGCACGCTGCGGATGGCGCGTCTCCTGCTGACGCCAGCGCGCAGAAGGCGCCGAACGGCAGGGCGGGCCCCGCGCGCCAGAACAAGCGAGACCGCGGGGCGGCCTCGTCCAGCACGCCAACACCTACCGCCCCTGCTTTGACCAACGAGCAAGTGGCGGCACTGCTGGCGCCGCTTACCCAGTAGTATGAGAACGATGCCATTTGCACTACAAGTAGCGAGCTTTCTCAATTCGATACTTTGTGGAAGGATCGTGATTCCTGCTGATCTTTGTGGCACATGATTCTTGCTGATGCTGAACATACCCGAATACACACGAAAATATGAGCTATAAATGGTGTGACGTGAATGGAGGCCGGTCATGGAAGATGGAAAACTGGTTATAGGAGAAGTGTCTTGTGTGTATATATACGATCTGTAGTGCCATAGAAAGTGGTAGGAGGAGCCGCACCCAAAGTGTTAAGAGATTATTGAACACCTGGTGAGGAACATGATACATTCTATGTGACAAGGACTGGGTGTGCAATGCACTTCGCGCTCCCCTCCTTGTAAGCTCGCTCGCGCTTGTCACGTGTTCCCTCCACCAGCGAGCACGCGGTTTGAGAATGCTGTGAATCTTGTCGTGATCTGTAGGTCCTACAGTATCACCATTGCCAATGGCTGCGTGGATTTGGGAGTGGCAGTGGTTGTCAGGCCACCCTAAAACCTTTTCGAGTGCTCCCCAAACTCATATGAAAAGGGTCGACACGAAGCTTGCGGGTGCCCCAAGCACTTGAATATTTCCGGAAGTGACAGCCATTGCATCTGCAGGCTGCCCGAAGATCTATAGATCCGTGACGAGGAACATTTCTCTGCTTGTCACACACGCTATTCGCCCAGTCGGACGCCAAGGGTGGGTCCCCCCCAAGCCAACCCTTGGGGGGCACACATTTGCTTGCACATTTGCATGACAGGTCGGTGTCGCACATCGAGTCATGCATCGTTTCGCTATGTCGCACCGTCGGCTCTTCTACTCGCCTTTCTTTATCGCATGCTACATCCCTTCGTTACGCAAGTTTCCCTCTTCGCCTCGTTCGTCGCACCGCCTAGCCGCATCGTCTCGACTTGGTCATCCCTGACTCGCGTCGTCCATTTTTCTTCTCCCTCGAAACCGTCACCGCCAGGCCTAACGTTTTGCTTTTTTGACCGTCAAGAGCCGTGACCTGCCCAAAATACACGAACCACCATCTCCTCCTGGTCTTTCCACCTCAAGCCCAGATTGCCCCTCCTGCCGAAGTGTAGAGATTTCGAGAATAATTATTTGTTGAGGGAAAACTATTTCTGCCCTTCTCCGTTTCCCTCCTCCACACCCGCGATCGCTGCTCCTGTGTTCTCCTCTGATCTACACACTTTTCGTTGGTTAGCCCTCGCTGCGTCCGCCTCCCATGGCTGACGCTATTGTTGGCACCTCCCTTCTTCCTGGCATCATCGTCAGCTGCTGCTTTTGAGTACCTTCTCCACAATTATTTGTTCGAGCCTTTCTCTCCTTCGGATCTGTCAGATCCACCGTTCTTTCCCTGCTCTCTCCACTAGGGTTACAGCAGAGCGCGCACGCGTAGTACTTGTGCCGTCAGCGCCCGGTCCAAGCCAGTTCAGCGGAATTCGCCAATAAGCTACCTTGTTTGCGCTCACCGAGTTATCCCTTTTTAGTCCCTCCGGCGTCCGCTCGCTGATCTGCCTATGAGCTCCTAATACCAATTAACGCGATTTTATCTTGGATCAAGCCTGTTTTCAACCAAAACTGTTTTCAACCAAGCCGAATCTCGCGTCGTTTCCGCATCTGCTACCATGCATCTCGTCGAGCGCCCTTACGCCGCGCGACTGAGCACCCTTGCTGGCGCGGCGGGAGCGGCGGGTCCGCGCGACGCCGTCGGGTTTCACGGCGGGATTCACGGCAGCTCGAGCCCTCCTCTGGGTGGATCGCGGCACAGACTGCACTTCGAGACGAATCCCGAGCTCTGCGATCTCGACGACCCCTCCTACTACACGTCGCTGGACCACCTCCCCGACCGCCAGATCCTCGTGCAGACGTCCAGAATAGGGGTACGTCTCAGGGCTTAAGATAACCTTTGGGTCGACGTCAAAGTGCCCTCCCCCTACATGTCGCTGGGTCACCTCCCCGACCGGCAGATACTACTCGTACAGACCTCTATAATAGAGGTACTTTTCAGAGCTCAAGGCCCCTCTTTACAAGAATCCGCGATCTTGAAGAATATCGACAAAGGCTCTGCACAGAACTCGCGATCCTTTTGCGTATCGACACCTACTCATTTGTTTCGTTGGGTTTCGTCTCCGAGACGTCGATTAAGTCGATGAATCGCTGACAAGTGCTCTTCGCTTTGTGGGTCGTGCAGGCGGGGGTTCCCGTGGTAGAGAAGGTGCGATGGCTGGACCAGCACCTGTCGCACCTGCAGTGCCCCTACCCCATCCAACACATCGAGTTCACCTACTCCGGCGATGCAGGTACGGTTGCAAGTTACATCGCTTACTAGAAACTGTTATTCTACAAGTCAACGACCGCGTACGTCGTGCTTTCACTAGCTGCTCGCCATAACGCCGTTCCTTACCGCATGCGTGATCGACCTGGTAGCCAGATTCTTGGGCGAATCGCGTCGCGTCTTTTCGTCTCGTGGTCTCGTCGCAGTGGTTCAGTTCATCTCGGAGCCCGCTAAGCTCAAGGCGCTGGCGCGGTGCGGGTCGCTGCGGTGGAGGAGCGTGGAGATCGCCGCGCGGCCGTGCGCGGAGGACGACGTGCGCGCGCTCTTCTGGGTCGGCATCACCGGCGCGCTGCCCGAGATCTCCCCGCTCGTGCGACAGGTACTGCTCTGCTCTCGTCGCTGTGCTGGTTCTGTGGTTCTGTAACCCGCTCCTCGCAGTGAGTTTTTTTCTGATAAACTCGTACCATTTTCTAAAGGTTCCATGTTTCCCCCCCTGCCCGCCGCTTTTCCCCCACTCTCCACCCTCCCCCCAATTCCCCCCCCCCCCCCCCTCACGCCTCGCCCCCCCTTCAACCCCGTCCCCTCCTTAACCCCTCTCCTTGCTGGTTAACAGGCGTTGCAGCAATACGGCGAAGTGAAGGGGGAGTGTCCCCCTCCGCCCAACAACCATCTCCTGTTGGCGCAACAGCAGAGGAGGTTTCCAATGCTCAAGTACTATTTCGTTCCTAATGGCAAGAAGAGGCTCCCGCCGTCCATCCAGGTCGTCAGGCCAGACCGGTAAGTGCTTGGGATGCTCTTACGTTTTTATCAGTGTATCCTTACGGATGGCTAATTCCCCATTTTTCCTTTCTCTCAGGCCAAAGGCGTACCCACCATGCACAGTTCGAGTGTTCACACCGTTTGGGCCTCTTTCTCCGACCTGCTCTGATTTTGGGAAGGCACACTCAGTGTATGGGTGCCCTTCATGCTACTTTAATGGTAGCCAATCTCATTTCGGCGCTTAATTTGGAACAGCTGCTGGTCGAACCTGGCCGGCTTCTAGCACTAACGAATGCCGTAGATTCATGGCGAGAAAGAGTAGGTAGGGCCTATTAGGGGCCTGCTGGAGTAAGGTACGTGTAGGTTATCTTATGGTTAGTTCATTGATGGGATTTAGGAAGTTACCTGTAAGCTAAAGATCAGTGCATGTTCATGTCAACAAGCATATATCTGTATGCAGTTAGGTTAGAGATGTTTTGTTATGACCTACCTAGGTCAGCTTTTAGAGGGGACAATACGATGTACTTGTATCTCCCCTCCCCTCGTCGTCACGCCTTTTCCTCGTAATTCTGACAGTTCAATGGTTTCTATTGTTAACGTAGAAACGAATGATTACTAGAGGTGGAAACCTAGAACAAATACTAGTTGGTTGTATCAAACAGTGAAATTGATGATTGAGAGCAAGAGAGTACACAAACATATACCTAACAGTTGTACTCTCTAGAAGATGACCCTATACAGTCTATACAAGCATGATAACTAAACATATTTGACACACCCCCTGGACTGCATAGGGGAATGTTCTAGACAAGCAGCTCAGGGTGGCACTACTAGTCCAGCCTCTGAGACAAGGGTCTAAAAGACCAGTCAGAAGGAGTACAGGCAAGGCAAGAACTAGTACAGGGCGGCACTACTAGTCCAACCACTGTAAGAGGACACAAGTCCAGTCTGAGTGTACACACAGATATATATATAGGACAGTACAAAGTCAAGGCCCGAGTAAGTGAGAGACTACAGGAACCAGACCAAGCTGTACACAGTGCCGCTGATGATCTTTAGGCGCAAGCGCCTTCGTAAAGATATCAGCTGTGTTGGCACCGGAGGCTAAGTGTACTACGCGAGCCTGGCGACGCTGCTGTAGCTCACGCAGGAGGAAGTACCGCAGCTGGATGTGCTTCGCTCTGCCCTCGAGTCGAGGCTCCTGACACAGGAGGATCATGGCCCTGTTGTCAGCGTACAGGACCGGGGCAGAGCTAGGCCGCTCACCTAAGTCAGTGAGCAAGAAGGTAAGCCAGCGGAGCTCCTGTGCCGCCATGGCACCGGCGTAGATCTCGGCCTCACAGCTGGACTGGGCAACAGACGAAGAGCGGGTAGCTCTCCACGAGACAGCACCTGAGCCAAGGCTAAAGCAGTAGCCCTGGGAAGACCTGAGCGTCTCCGCGTCGTCTGCCCAAGAAGCGTCTGTGTGTCCAGTAAGGACCACTGGCCTGCGTCCGCCTAGCACTAACCCCATGCCCGATGTACTTGCAAGATAACGCAAAACCCTCTTAGCGGCAGACCAGTGCTGAGGTCGGTGTCTGCCTGTGGCCACGAACCGAGCCAGGATGCTGAGAGGGTATGCGAGATCTGGGCGAGTGCAAGTCATAAGGTACATGAGGCAACCCACTAGCTCAGCGTAAGGACCACTGGGATCTACCGACTCCTCAGGAACTGGAGCGGAGAGTCTGTGGTCCAGAGGAAGAGGGGTGGGCTGTGCGGAGGAGAACTGAAGGCCGAACCTCTGAAGGACCTGGCGCACCAAGTGTGACTGAGTCAGGGTGATGGTGCGCGCGGCTCTGTCCCTGGAGATCTGCAAGCCAAGGTAACGGCGCAGCTCTCCAAGGTCAGTGCAGGTGTGTCTCTTCAGCAGCTCTGCCTTCACGGAGGCCAGTGCGTCCCTGTCAGCAGTGGCAAAGACCAGGTCGTCTACGTAGACAAGGATGTAGAACGGAGTCGAGCCAGCACGAACGAAGAGCGAGGGGTCTGCAGAGGACGGAAAGAACTGCAGGTCAGCAAGGGTAGCACGCAAAGTGTCGTGCCACTCACGAGGCGCCTGGCGCAGGCCGTAGACTGGCCGCCGCAGAAGCCACTGGGTCCCAGGGGGGAAGGTGCCAGTAAAGCCCTGAGGGCGACGCAGGTAGACCTGCTCGTGAAGGCTGCCCTGAAGAAAGGCAGTGGAGAAGTCGAGGGAGTGAAGCTCGTAGTCACGCTGAGCCGCTACGTGTAGCAGAACCCGAAGAGTAGTCATCTTCGGGGTAGGAGCGAAAGTCTGAAAGAAGTCCACCCCCTCGCGCTGACTGAAGCCTCTAGCCACGTAGCGCGCCTTGAACACAGGCGGCTCTCCAGGAGGGCGCTTCACCTTGAAGAGCCAGCGGCCATCGACCACGTTCACCCCAGGTGGGGGAACTGCGTCGACGAAGGTGCCGGTGGATCTCCAAGATGCCATCTCCTGCTCCATGGCAGCTATCCACTGAGAGGCCCAGGGTCCCGAAACCGCCTCAGCGTAAGTACGAGGGGTCGGGATGTCGAAAGCGTCTGGGTCACCCTCAGGGACTAGCAGCATGGAACAGAGATGGGGAGCAGCCTCGGACAGGAAAGCAAGCTCAAACTGGCGGTCCTCTAGGACGTCACTGCCGAGGGCAGGAGCACCCCCGACAGACGGAGGACAGGCAGGGTCAGAGACCAGAGCGGTGGCGTAGTCAAGGCGGCGGGTAGAGGCGAAGTCAGCGACCGCAGCGACGAGGGCGTCAAGACTCGACACTGGAACAGACGGGTCGGTAACAAGAGAGGCAAGGACCCGAGGAACAAGAGGACGAGCGGCACGAAAGTAGTCGGACAGAGGAGGAGACGCAACGACAAGAGAAGACGGAGGAGGAGACGGGAGGAGGGGAGGACGAGACGGGTGGGAACGGAGCAACATAGGGTGAGAGCGCGGGACAGGGGAGACAGGACGAGCACGAGCGGGGCGGCGAGACCAGACGTGTGAGGGCGGCGTCGGGTCAGGAGACAGAGAAGGGGACACAGGAGGGGAACGGGGGGGAAGACGAGCCGGGGACGAGTCTGGCAGAGGGAACACGGGGCCGTAGACGGGAAGAGGGGGAGACGGCAGGAGAGGAACAGGCGCAGTGTCAGGAGACGGGAGGCCGAGCAGACGGAGGGCGGTCACAGGCGGGGACTGCTGCTGCGGCGACACAACACCAACACCAGGGCCACAAGCGGCGCGACGGCTACCTCCCGAACCCTCCAAACCCGCACCCCCAGAAGGGACACCCCCAGAGTCCACAAACGGCGGCAGGGACGACAGCGGCGGCGGCGGCGGCGGCTGCAGCGACGGCTGCAACGGCGGCGGCGGTGGAGACGACGGCTGCAGCAGGTGCGGCGACGGCGGCTGCGGAGGCGGGGGAGGAGGAGACACCGGGGGAGGGACAGACGGCGAGGACTGCGCCGGAGGACTACCAGAGTCAGAAGACTCGTCGACCGGGACGACCGACGGGAGGGGGGTGACGTGAGACACACCAGAGGGGGCCGGACGGGGGGGCGGCGGGGGGGGGGGGGGAGGGGCAGGGACCACCGGGGAAGGAGGGACCAGGAACAGGGGGGGAGTAACCGGGGGACCACGGTGAGGGAAGCGGCGGTAGAAGGAGACGGACTCGTCAAAGGTGACGTCACGAGAGTGAAAGAAGCGGTGGGACGGCGGGTGGTAGAAGTGCCAGTCGGACGCGTCAAGGGGGAAACCGAGGAAGACGCAGGGGAGGGTGCGGGCAGTGAGCTTGTCCGTGCCAGAGGCACGGACGTGGGCAAGGCAGCCCCAGACGTGGAACGCAGACGCGTCACCAGGGGACCCGGTCCACAGAAGGGTCGGCGAAACCTGCGGCCGCTGGGGGTGCGGCCACAGGTTAAGCTGGTGAGCGGCGTAGCGCACGGCGAACGGCCACAGAAAATGGGGTGCACCGGCGTGGATCATGGAGGTGCGAGCCACCTCCATGACCAAACCGATGCGTCGCTCAGCGACCCCATTCTGCTGCGGGGAGTCCGGCAGGGTAAACGTCTGGGTGATGCCCTCCGCACGACAGAAGCGACCAAGGACACCTGAGGCAAACTCGCCACCCCGGTCGGAGTGGAGGCGCAAGGCAGGGAGACCGCGGTGGACACGAGCAGAGACAAGCCAGGGGATGAGAACGTCAGGCACGTCGGCCTTCCGCTCCAGGGGGAAGACGGTGGTGTAGCGCGTGAAGTCGTCGACAAGCACTAGGAAGAAGCGCTCGCGACGCGGCCCATGGACCGGGGCTGGGCCCCAGACGTCCATGTGCAGAGTCTGCAGTGGTGCGGTGGTAGGGGGAAAAGAGGAGGAGTGAGGGGCACGGCGGAGCCGGCCCTCGACACAAGGCGTGCACGGTGGGGCGGGGGAGGAGGGAAACTCGGGGAACGAACCGGGGAGACCAAGGACGAGACCGTGCTGGGACATGTGACGCAGACGTGGGAGTGCAGGGTGACCAAGGCGGTGGTGCCAAAGGAGAGTCGGGTGAGTGAGGGACCGACAGGAGCACGCGGCAGCAACCTGGGTGGACGCAGCTACCGGGGGGGAAGACCCAGCCGGGGACGTCGCGGTGTCAAGTGTGAACAGGCCGGACACCGGGTCCCGGGGGAAAGTGGTAAGGGGGGCACCAGTGGCGGCCTCGGTACAGACAGCATACCGCTCGTGACCAGGGAACGTAGTGGTGACGCCAAGGTCCTGGAGGCAGCCGACACCAACTAGGTTCCTGGAGAACGAGGGGATATGCAGACCGGTGAGCGAACCTGAAGGAACCGCCGTACAGGGAAGGGAGGTGGAACTGCGGGCAACGACGGGACCACCGGAGGGGTCAGCAAGAGTAACGGCAGCGGGAACAGGCAGCGGCGTCAGCGTCGTGGAGTCGCGGAAGAAACACCGGGAGGCGCCAGAGTCCAAGGTGAAGGAAAGCGCAGCAGTCGCGTGAGGCGGCAGTGAAGCGGTGGAAGCACCAAGGCTAAGCAAAGCAGGAGATCCTACGCCTGACGCAGCAGGGGAGTCTACGCTAGGCACCGCTACACTAGGCAACACGGGGTAATAAGAGGGAAGCACACTAGAGTCATCAGCATACATCACATGCAAGGCTGCTACAATGGCATCCATGTCCAAGTCAAAAATCCTAATGCTACGCCTAAGCAAGCTGTGCCAGTCCGGGAGGTCGGGCGCCGGGCCAAAGCGCTGGCGGAACAGGTCGTCCAGACGACGAAAACAGCGAGGAGTAGAATGACCGATCTTACCGCAAACGAAGCCGCGGCGAGGACCGGTCTGGATCTGGTACTGACAGGGCCCGCCTCCAGAACCACCACCCGGTGCACCACCACGCGCACGACCACCACCAGCTCCAGGCCACCCAGGTGGGAGAGCACTCGCCGGCCTCGTCTGCGGCGGCTGCTGCGGCTGCTGCGGCTGCGGCGACTGCTGCTGCTGCAACG